AGCTGGTCATTTCAAGCAGGATCTTTTGTAAAAGTAATTAAAACAGAAAATTCATTGTATCTCATAAACGAAGACAGATAGAGCATATATTTATATGACTTTTTTTCATTATTTTTAGACGTACAATCAGCTCCCGAAGTGGGTCCCACAAGTTACGAAACACTCTGTATAACACACTCTGCGATTGTACTTCGTAAATTTATCTCATAAACGTACATACATATATATGTATCTCATATAATTCGTATCCTTTTTTTTTTTTTTTTTTTTTTTTTTTGTTTTGGTTGCGAGATTTCTGTGATGCCGGGGCAGGGATGAGGGGGGGAAGGAACCGAGGGCAAAAAGCGATCGTAAATTTCCCGTCCGATGCTTGGTAGGAAGTAACACGAGCGCTCGGCTCGAACGTGTCGTAATTAATTGTACGTTCTTTCGACTGTTAATCCCTGGAAACGGCTGTCTTAATGAAGGTAATATTTCACCGCTTAGCAAATAACAACGTTCGTTCTTCTCGGCGAGCGTATTCCTGTAATGACAGCCGATGCTCTAACACGCCATTACCCTATATAGTATAATCACGGTAACATACCCTAAACAAAAAAATCTCGTTCTCACGTAAAGTAAGACAAGGCGACACAAATTGAACGGGTTGCGCCACTTCCGGATGATTTCAACAAAAAAAGTCACTGTAGTAAATGTTCGTGTTAATAATTTTCCATTACCAAGCGAAAAGAATCAAATTCAAGTCATTAACGTGACTTTACAATTGCTTGAAAGATACTAAAAATTAATACTGATTTCTCTTTGTACAGAAATATAATTCTACAAGTCTGTTTGTTTTGATCACTTTCATTTAAATTGCGATGATTTCAATAAACCAACAAGAAAATCACTACGAATCAATATAAATTTGCAATCAGTTAATACTCGCGTTGACAAACTTTTCCATTACGTAATGAAGAGTCATTTTTTTAACACTCTTTTAATGCTAGAACTAAACCTGTCGATGTAACTGGATTTCAGAGTTTCTTCTTTCACAATTGCTCAAAAGATAACGAGTACATACAAGTTTGTCAAAATGAATATTCATTATTCTCGTTACACAGAAACACAATTGCATAAATCTGTTTATTTCAACCACTTTCACTTCCGTTGTAACGTATGTGATTTAGAACAGAATATTTCGATACTTTTAATTGAAGGCCGGTTGTTCGGACTTTAATTAAACAAGAAATATGCACAAAGTGAAGCTGCAAATCTTTCCATTTTCAATCTTCTCAACCCGATCTCCAACGATCGACCGAGGGAATTTGTTCGAATCATTGTTCGCCTAATTTCAAAAAGTCGGACAGGCCTTTCTCTCTCGTACGAGCCGAAGCTTACGTCAAATATTATCTTCGATATTTATTATCGTTCTAGCGGAAGCGCGTCGATTTTTCATCCATACGGCTTTTATATAGTAAACCGTAGGCGACAGAGCAACGCAACAAGACACAGGCCCCGTTTATACTATAGGACCTGTAACGGCAAGATAATGTTCGATCGGGACTTTATGGACACGAAAGGTCCGCCGTTGATTTTATTACCGATGAAACGGCGCGTTTCGATATTAACTGCTAACGCGGTCCCCGGGCCGGCGTTGGAATTTCTGTCGGCAATTTAGTCGAAATTCCGGACATCTGGCTAATAATGGTCGATAACAAACACGACATTATTGGCTCACCTTTGACGGCGTTAAGCTTTGTGTTCCCGTATTTCGACCGCGAACCACGACGGCATATTAAGCGGCTCTTCGCCGCCGTCCCTCTCCGCGCGCGTCCAACGAGAGACTCGCTTCAACTTCGATTTCAGTCACGCCTTTTCGGATTTTACACCTTTTTCCCCTTTCCTTTCTTCGCCAACAGAGTCCAACGACACCAGTTTTTAACTTTGGCTTAGCTCACGACGCAAGCTACCTATCGATCGTCGTGTTTTAAATAGTTTCTCGCGAGATTTCGCCAACTTTCTGTCTCACTTTTGTTTAATAATCGGGAGCCAATATTTCCGCCATCTCGTTTTCGAACGAATTCTCGTAGCAGACAATGTATACGTGAGTTATTTAAGAGGGTTGAAGCATGCTCGTCCAACTCAGAAAATCGTGACCTTCTATCTACGTGCGAAAATCAGAGAACGAAGCTCAGGTGTGTACTGGTTCTCGATTACTCTCGCCTGGCTACGAAATTCTTTCTCGATGATTTCTTCACGGGCTAATTGAAACGTTCGGCGATAGACGGGACTAATTGACGCGTTCGTATCCGCGGGTACGGCCACTCGCCGCCAGCCGCGTAATTGCATAAGCAGTTCCCGAGAGCGCGCGGTAGGTTGAGCAATAGCTGCGCGCGCGATCGGCGGCTGGAATATCGCGCGGCGCAATCGGCAACGTATGAGAAAACACGGGGAAGAAGGCGAGGGAGGTCGTCGTTGCGGCGTGCCGTATGGGGGAATCGATGCCGCGCGCCGGGGAAATCGCCAAGTGAACCGGCGAAGGAAAGATAACGAGGCGAGCGTCGCGCGCGGCTAATTGCCTCTCCTCGTTTCTCTCGTTGCTTCGTTTCCCCCGCTGACGTCGCTTCGAGCACCCTAACGACTTGTCCTCGTCGAGGTCGTGCACCAGCATCCCGATTTTTCGTCGAGCAACGGCGGGGAGGCGGAGTGAATCGAGAATCGTCTGTTTTGATACTGCCAGATCGAGGATTAGCTTGATTTTGGTGAATTACGGTGAAATTGTTGTTGAAATTGTGGTTGAAACACGTGCACGCAGAACGTTAGATTTTGGAGATAATTGAAAATCACGCTAAATCAACGAAATCGAGGATTTCTTAACCTCTTGCGCTGGAATGACGTGTGCGCCACGTCGAGAATTTTTTGTTCCAAAATTGTAATATTTTTCTCAGCTTCAAGGATATTTCAAGCAAAACAGAATAGGCAAAGCAAATAATAAATTTATTACTTCTCGATAATTTCTATCCAGCGATATCGTACCGACGAGCTCAAAACGAAAGCGACGAAATTATTGTACACGGTTTTTGGTCACTCGTTACGGTCCGCAATCAGTTGCCAGCGCAAGTGATTAAAGATCGTTTCTGCCGGTATCAATCGTTGAATCAAGTTGGCGCCACACGTTCGAAGCGATTCCGCTGCAACGAAATGACAATCGGAGGAAAATCGCCGCGAAATTTTAATTTCTGGTAAAATAACCACGGTTATCCCCCCAGCTGAGTTCTCAATGTCGTTGAATCATAAATCTCGTACGTACAAAGAAATAGAGAGCAAGCGGCACGAAATGGGTCCCGAAAGAGAAAGAGAACGCGGGGTTTTCGCCGTTTCCTTCGCCAAGGATTAACCGACCATGCATACGTAGGTAGGTACGCGGGGATATGAGTATCGACGTTATCGAGTGGCCACGTCAAAGGAAAGACCCGAGCAGAGCAGAGGAGAGCAGCA